ATTCTATTAACATCGTTATCCTCACTGCAATTCTCCTTCCCATTCTCTTTTCAAAAACCCAAATCAACAGTCTTAAAATTTTAAACAGAAAAGAATAAAATCTCAAGTTTCTAACTCTAAGTCTTCCCTCCTTTCCACCTTTCCACCCTATCATCTTCTTCCCACCCCCCACCCCTCACCCCCACCTCATCCCCACCATTTCTCTCTCGCTTCCCCTTCCCCCTCCCCTTCCCCTATAAAACACCTCTTCTTCTCCTCAATCCCAGCCCCCGAGCCCCCCTAGAAAACCTATATAGATTTGCTCAGAACCTCAATCACTATTACAATTATAAATACTAGAATTTCATTCCCCTTTTATCTCACTACATTATATCGCAATTCAGTATATCTCCATTCCCCTATTCCCTTCCCATCCCATCCCTTCCCTTCCATTCCATCACTACCAACTTTCCAACTACCTATCCAACTACCCAACTATCTAAACATCACCTCCCTCCCAACCCACAAAAACAAATAACAATAATCATCAAATAAAATTATAAAATTCAATAACACTTTCTTCCAGGATTTTATAATCATCATCAAGCCCTCCTCCCCTTCCCTCTATCCCTCTATCCCTCTATCCCTCTATCCCTCTATCCCTCTATCCCTCTATCCCTCTATCCCTCTATCCCTCTATCCCTCCATCCCTCCATCCCTCCATCCCTCCATCCCTCCATCCCTCCATCACTCCATCACTCTATCCCTCTATTCCTCTATCACTCCATCACTCCCTCTATCACTCTATCACTCCATCCTCCTTCTTATTCATTCTATCCCCTTCTTATCCACTCTATCCCCCTTTTCATCCACTCATCCTCACTCATACACAATCTCATTCACTTACTCACTCACTTATTCACTCACTCACTCACTCACTCACTCACTCACAACCCCACAATCTTACAATCCCACAACCTCCCAACCCCACTCTAATCCTCAAAACCAATCCTCAAAATCAATCCTCAAAACCAATCCTCAAAACCAATCCATCTACATTCATTAAATTCAACCCAGCCCAACACAATAACAATGACAATGACAATGATAATATTCATACTCAAATTCAAATTCACATTCAAATTCATATTTATATTTAAATGCAGAGATAAGATGATCAATATCTAAACCCAACCCCAACCCCTTTCGAATTTCCCAATAAGAAGAATCCCATTAAATGCTCCTCTCCAAAATTTCAAAACTAGATACCCAATATTCCCGCTATGTATATTTATGATATGATATGATGATATAATATGCTCATTAAGTCCAACCCCAAAAATGCTCCGTTTATCCATGCATGCATGCTTGCTCGTTCATATCTTCGTGTATAAAATTCCATCCAGCTTATTTAACTCATCACCACCATCCAAATTATCAAATCAAATCATGACTTTATCCCCTCTCACTCCTTCACATCAAACTTCTCCCCAAGCACCCATTCCAGGGCCACCAACTCCTCCTACAACCACACTTCCCCTCGTACTACTTCCTCCCAAACTCCCTCCAATATCCCAATAATGTCTCGAACTTCCACTTCCAATTCTCAAACTCTTAAGTGTTCCACCAATCGGTACCCCTCCACTTCCCAATCCCATTCCTTTCCCCAATCCACCTAACCCTAGACCTACTCCACTCTCACTTGATCCTCTTCTTCCCACAGCCCCTCTCTTTCTCACTCCTCCATTATTCGCCTTGAGATTAACAAGCGGATGATGAGCCCTAACTCTCGCCACTCTCGCTAATGAATCTGGTGTATTCTCCACAGCCAAGTTTTCTCTTGTACTTTTCGATAATACTGAACCAGAACTCGAAGCAGTTGGAGCCGGTACATTATCGCTTCGACTCGTAAATCTACTTTTCAAGTAACGAAAGACCATTTTAATATCCAAATCTCTCTCCCATTCTTCTCTTGTAATAGGAGCACTATATGATTGTCTTGGTGTTGAATCCTCCAATTCTTCTGCTTTACTTTGGTTTGGGATCGATATTGGTTGAGGAATTGTAGGATGGAATTCTAGATCGTGGTCGGTATTTAGAGTTGAGGCGAGATGTTCTTCTTGCTCTTGTTCTAGTTCCAGATCCGGTAGAGGAATGCCCGTAGCCACATTTGAATTGCTACTAGATGCTGATTCTGGAATGACGGGTAAACCTGCATAAGGAAGAGGTGTCTGCTGAGATTGGAGATATGTCGTAAAAGCACCAGGATGATCTGAGAGCTGATTAACCAACAGGCCCAATTCGCGAGCTATTCGTTCAAGGAGTCTATATTCCCATGAACTCTTGTCAGGTTGTGTAACCGTGGCGGGAATAGGTATGGCTCTTCCTGATCCTTTTGATAGTTCTTCTTCTATCGGTAGAGATTCGCCAAAGATGATTGAAAGGAGATCATCATCGATACCCATTAGATCTCGTATAACTCTTCGAGTGAGTCTGTTCCATAAACTATCATTTTCGCGTGTAATCGCTGGGGCAGGTTCTGCTTCGACATTGTTCAATGTAACCAAATCCTCTTGTTCCTTATCTTCAACAACAGTACTCCTCTTTTCACTAGACATAGATTGTTTCCTCCTTCTAGTCTCCCGTTGTATTTCATCCACCAAAGCTCGACTCTGTTCCAGCCTCCAAATTTCAATCCTCCTTGTCCTTTCCATTTCCGCTGCTTTCTCACTCTCCAAAGCCATTTCTCCAATTTCCAAACTTTCTCTCCTCCTCTTTACTCTTCTCGGATTGTACTGCTCGAATGCATATAAATGTTGTTGAACATCCTCGCCAATCCCATCTACCCTAAAACTCCCAAGTCCATCGTGCTTCGGTAAAACAGGTCCCTCCTCATCTTCCCTATTCCCATAAACACTTGGATCCGTCCGAAACTCATGTAAATGACTATCCAGGGAATCCAATTCAGCATCCTCATTATCATCCTCTGTTTGCGCATCCACATCCTCATCTACGTCATGATCATCGTAAATTCCATAACTTCTCGCCGCAGTTTCTAAACTTCCAAAATCACTAATTCTTGAATGGCCAGCTGTGCGCGTTCCTCTCGTCCTCCCTGTACTAGCTGTATAGGTACCCTCTGTAAAACTTGGCGCAGCCGGTGAAAATAACACCCATTCTTGACTTGCTTCTAAACGCCCATCTCTCTCTTGTGCATTTTGTTGACTTCGCGTCTGCGAATTCGCATCTTGGTTCGGTTGCGTAAATGTTCGAGGGGCATGATGTGTAGGTTGTCTAAAAGCCATCTTTGGTATGTTGTACAGATGTAAATAAATACCAATAAGATGTTAGTCTAAAATCTCGTTTGCGATCTCGTTTGTCGTATCTTCGTAATGGAATTGAAACAATCGCAGTAGGTTGTAATGATATCGAGGTGAGAATAGGCTATTAATGAGACTGTTTGAATGTTTCGTGTTTAGTAGTATGACTTCGTCAATAGAGGGGTTCGAGTCTCGTATGATATTGATCGAGAATAAGATTGTACGACGACAGAAGAGTCTAGTGTATCAGATACTCTAGTTGGATAAGGCGACTTTATAGACTCAGGTCTTGACGTATCGTTTTGACGTATAAGTATCTCTAGAATCTCTCTCTGGATTCTCGACTCGGGATTCGACAGGCAAATTCCACGGCGCTCTCTGGACAATGAGGTTATAGTTCTAGTAATCCCCCGCGTCTCTATTAGGCATGTCCTTTGATGAATCAAACTTGAACAGAATAACAATCCAGAACCAATAAACAGAATAACAAAAACTTCACTCCTCAAGATGTGGTACCAATAAATCAATAAATATCAATTGCACGTACTCGACAATACGTACAAACGAGTCGTGTCTGCTAGTGCGAGATCAACGGCTAAACCCACTGGCGTGACTGAACTAAATGGATAAGTACAGCACGCATACACGTGGACGGGTGGATAAGACTTGTTTTTGGATAAGGAATGGCGGACGAGGTGGGCTCAGTGGGGTTTGGATATCAATGTCTCAGATCAAAGCGATGATAGAGGTGGTAGAGGTGATCACTGACAGATGAAAGGAAAAGGAAAAGGAATGATTAGAATAATGGGATTGTGTGAAAAGAAAGAAGAAGGAATATGGGTTCGTCTACGAGGTAGATGAGAGGAAAGAAGAAAGAAAATGTTAGAGGAGTATTTATCGTAGTATAATCAAAAATTGTTGAGTAAAAGTTGTCTTAGCTGATACTGGCGAGTAATGAACTGATTGTCTAATATCTACCTACATTTCTGAATTTTCCCTTGACTCTGTTTCATTGAAATTAATTAGATAACCTAATCATATGTACTCTATGCATAGATATGTATCTAAGTTCATTATCCATCATTCATCATTCATCACATCATCCCACGCAATCAGATTCTCCCGCCATCTCCCGTACTCGTACCGTCCTTGTGTCTTATCATCCCTTCCCCTTCTAAACTTTCTTCCCATCCCTCTCGCACAGTTGGATATGCATCATCATCAACCTAATCCATCCGCCATCAGCCATCATCTATCAACTATCAACCCAGCCGCGATAAGCAAAGAAAATCTCTCAAAATAGTATACCACAATGGTACAGCCGCAGTCATGCCAGCCAATCATTTCGGTGTGAGAGCGTTTGAGATGAGAGGCTAGATTATGAAGGGAATGGTCTGTAAGGCGTAAGATTTTGTTGGATGGAAAGATCCGGAAGAATCAACTCCCATTGCCACGACTTGCTGATCTAATAAAACTTAGAAGAGGCAAGAAGACTCGGTAATGTTGTCATGATTGTCGTGATTGTCATATTGCATTGTTAGTTTTTGGTTTCATTTCAAGCGGCCCGATATACCACTTCTCTCGTCTTGGCTGCTGAGTTGTGAGCTGACACGAACCTTTGATTGTCGTCCCTTACTCGACCCTTAATGTTGGACATCACAAAAAAAGAATAATCTTCATGTCAGTATCACAGATAGTCACATCACCAACTAGTCAGACATGGAAAATAACATGATGAGTTTTTGAAAGTCGTAGAATCAATTCCTTAGGTACAATGATTAGGATTTGTGTCTGCCACTTTATGTGACACCATGCTAATCCAGCCATTGCAAATGTACGCCTTTCTGATCATACCCCGAAATTCCCTTTGATATCAACAACTCGATTTATGCCTCAGTCTCGAAAGCAGCTGGGAAACGTCTGATGTTATCGGCCAACTTGCCGTGGTTGGACAAGAATTGAACATATGCACCATCGACCAAAACCTTTCCACTTTGCTTCTTCTCCATATATTCCTCACGACGGAGAGGAGTGAAACCCCAGTTCTTGGAAACAATGATCTTTTGGCGACCTGGGAACTTGTATTGGGATCTGCGGAGGGCCTCGAGAGCGTTGGGGCGGACTGAAAATTTGTTAGATGACTGTGCATATGAAAGATCGTGAATATAAACTTACAAGAGTCACGAGTTCTGATGGACAAGATGATTTGACCAATGTTGACACGGGCGACAGTTCCGTTTGGCTTACCCCAAGCACCACGCATACCAGTTTGCAATCTATCGGCACCAGCACAAGACAACATCTTGTTGATACGGACGACGTGGTATGGGTGAGCACGGACACGGAGATGGAAAGATTCCTTTCCTGCGGACTTAACCATGTACCTGTTGAGTATGTTGTTAACATCCATCTCGATAATTCCACTTGATCTTCCCAATATCCTCTTTTTTGTTCCATCTCCACTTTGACCAAATTCCTTCGCTCGACGTCATTGATTCGGGTTAAACTCACTTGTTGGCGCAAATACGGGCGGCTTCCAAAGCCTCGGAACTCAATTGTTCATACTCGTTGGAGACCAAGTGAATGCAGAGAGGGAACTCGTCGACATTTGCCTTCTTACGACCGAGATCGAAGATACGAATCTTTGGGTCGGGAACACCACGGTTGAAACGGGACTTTGGGTAAGGCTATAAAATTAAATTTCATCAGTATTGGCTCCTTCTATTTATTGTGATTCTGCGATCGTGAATTTGGCGCCATTTCGATACATTTGTGATCGTTGATGCGAAAAAGCGGTCGATCGAATGGTCGGAAATCCTTCAAATCCACTTCGCACAGTTCGATGATAATTTGCTGGCGGAAAATGAGATTTACACACCTTGTTCTTACAGTATCTGTAACATCTCGCTGGGCGACGGGCCATCTTGAATGATTTCTAGAGGGTCTTTTGGTGTTGGTGTCGATGGGTTTGTTCAAGGGGATCGGGGGATTCAAAAGGGAACTTTGAAAGTTGGATTGATTGCTCAGCAAAGGTGCGCTAGCGCGTTTGTGGAAATATAAGCGAGAATATCTTTAGGGCAAACTTGATAATTTGCCAAATGAGGTAACTGGAGTTCCGGAGATGGGAATAGTGGCAATTTTCTATTTGAAATCAAGTCGATTTCAAATGGAAATGGAAGGTATCATCATGTCTCACAACGGAATTGCTTGGGCTTTATATATTATAAATGTTGTCATTAATTGTCAGCATCAAGATTTCTAAGTATACGGGGTCCGGCTTTTGATCAAGTCCGGAGCTCAAAATGAAATCCTTCAATATCGATGAACCGGTGTGAGTCACTCTGAACATGAACATGAATCGGGTTACACGCATGTCAACACAGACAATATAGAACCATCATTCAATAGATAAAAGAGTAGAAACAATTTCCTAGAATCAAGGTATATCATTTTGTGATGCTATAAAGCTATGCAAGATTTGCATACTGATACATGTCAAAGATTAATCAATCATGACTGATCTTGTTCCTTCATCTAGAATTTCTCCACCTCAACAACCAATGCTAATGATTGATATTTCTAATCTATGCAGCTTGGCTAGAGAGAATATCGGAATCACCAGCATCCAAAACAGCCATGGTGGAACATCTGAAGAGCTTACCGCAAGCAGTACCGAGCTCAATCTATAAGAAATAAAATAGTAAGCAACTGAATACCCTCCAAAGTCTAGAGAGACTTTATCGCTGGGTAATGTCCTCCCAGACCTGATCTCAGGCCTGATCGATAGACGGATATTTTGACAAATGAAATGTATATGTACGTACGTTGTTACCGGAGAAGTGGTGAACTTGAGTCTTGGACAACATGGAGTAGTACTCGAGCTCAGACTTGCGGAGAGGAGGGGTGTTTCCGGCAATGATGACGAGCTTGGCCTTTCCAGATCGGAGTTGCTTGAGAGTAGACTTGTATCCGAGAGTGACTGTAGAAGATAATCATTAGTATTTTGTTGAATTGTATTTCGATTGGAACCCATTTTTTGCATACCCTTTCCGGACTTCATGACAAGAGCCAAACGACTGTTGATGGAGTCGGCGGTCTTCTTAGCCTTCTTAGTTGTTGGTGCCATCTCTGCGGTTTTGAAATTGGATAATGCGCTCCGGCTGTATTGGATTTGAAAGTTTGGTGTTGTCGTTGAGGTTGTCGAGCAAATTTCGAAAAGTTCGAAAAGTTCTGAATATTTTCAAAGTGTGGGACGCTAAGAACAATTGCGCTAGGTTAGAAATGGACTAGACGTATGGGGGAGAAAGCGTGACCTTGATGAATGACTGTATCACCTGACTTGGATTAAGTAGGTAGGGGAGGGATCCATTTACATGATACAGGAGAAAGTTCTTGTCATCTAGACTTTGGTAGCTACGGAGACGTCAAATATAAGGATGGCCCTGCATTGTTTCGTCGATATGGTTTACTCAGATACAAACTGGACAGCGAGAGGTGATAATCCCAGATTTCCGGATTCCCCATATTCGAGATCATGTCAATATCAACAAGATCAACAACATCAACAACATTTACCCGGGCTCGAGCCAGGTCATTCACATATGAGGATAACCCTTGATCAAGCATGCTACATCACCACCACCATCAACATTAACCATGAACTTTTCATGATATCAACAATGAAATTTTCATGAAAAACAGTTGAAGTCAATCAAGCGCCCTCTCTACCGAGGTCCTCTGTACATGAGAGCGTTTGTTCGAAAGAAGTTCCTGGCAAGTGAATCAATACTAGTCCTACTAGGTCGGTATCATTTCCTTATGAAGATGAAAACGGTGAAAGAGCGGAGATTTAAGATCATGCAGCGATGAAAACGCATGGTCCATTGTGCGGGATTGTATGGATAACAAGAGATGGAAATTTGAGAACAGCCAGTGATTTGCTAGTGATGGAGAAATCCAGACCGTATCCAGGTACAGTAATGAATATCGCAGCCAGAGTTTTATAGATTAAAGAAGATATAGGAGTTGGGGGGAAGAATTAGCTGGGACTTTGAAAACAACAGACAATCAACCATTATACAATACAAATGATAATAGTAATATAATATAATATAATAGTAATAGTAATGATAATCATAATAACAATCATCATAATAATTATAATAATCACAATATCCTCAAAATCATCCATCCTCCATCCTCCATGACAAGGGGTTTTTGAACACGTATAGAAAAGAACAACTACTTCCCTCCCTTTCCTAGGTAGATACTTTGTCGTAAAGTCCATCATCCTTGGAATCATATCATCCTTCACTTCCATACTTCACTCCATCACACGATTCACACCCTTCACTCCATCGCACCCACCCTTCACCTACAGCTGAGCTACCGACGAGTCTACATCGTACCCTTCCTTCATTTGTATCTCCTGATCAGAAAATCAATGCAAGCCCATGGTGCTCGTCGTTCCTTGCTGTCCAACGATACCATCCCGTTACCCAGTCTTTTTTTGTTTTCAACCGCATCAACCGTTCACACATGTACATTAGGGCGGTTACCACATACGGTATATGTTGAACAAGATACATAACGAAATCTTATCGCACCGCATCTTACCTGACCTTGCCTTGCCTTTGCCATACCATACCGCATTCTTACTGTATGTAAATTCACCTGAATCACAAGTCAAACATCTACTTGATCGCAAATCTTAAATTTTACCTCATATACTGTCGTTTCATTCACGCATCTTTGCCAACGGCTGCGACAACAATAAACAAAGCCTTCATCCAAAGTCTCCATCCAAAGCCTCCATATCCACAGAGTGAACGGAAGCGGCATATACATCAACGGAGGAACAGAGAGACTGAGCCACCCTTGAATCTGACCCAACAACCATACAACCATACACCTGCAACCCATACACCCATACACCCATACAACCATACAACCATACAACCACAACAATCACAAACCTAGTCCTACGAAATCTCCAAGAATAGCTCACTCAGTAACGATCCAAATCTATTCAAACACTTCACATTCATGCAACACAACAAATAACCCTTAATCCTTAAGATTATTGAATATTTCACTGCTATCTTGCTACACTCTCTCCATTACCCTTTAACGAGCATACGTTTCAAATCAATTATTTATTACGAAAGCACGGTTTCGTTATTTGCTTAATACCCTCATTCAGGATACACCACAGTCACAATGTCAACAGCTACAAAGAAACCCCCAGTATCTTTAGGAGCTGGTCGCAGAACGTCATCAGATACTTCAAGTACCGGTATTCCGAGCAGAACTGCAACACGTTCACCAACAAAAGATTCTTCCCCTACTACAAACGGAACACACGCACGAAGTCGTTCAATACGCAGTGGTACCCCATTATCCGCACGAGCTGCCATGCAACGACCGGGCGCGAGTACATCCAATCTGAGTTCAAACAGTGTACCATCTGTTGCGGACGATGACGCAAGGGCTGAGAATATTGCTCTTTTGGATGATTTGAAGGAGAGACTTCGTAAAACAGAAACCATATCTGAGCAGTTCCAAAAGCAAGCTCAAGTTCTCCAGTCAAGATTAGATGAAGCCCTACAGGATCAAGGGAAGTTGGAGGATCGTCTACATGAGAACGAAGAGAAATTAGAAACTTTACAAAATGAAAAGAGAGATGCTCTTCGACAGAAGAGGGAGATGGAATCAATCTATGAAGCCGAGAGAAGTTCCATGACAAAGGAGAGGGAAGAAATGGCAAATCGAGAGGAGGAAATGCAGACAATCATTCAGCGATTAAAGGATTCTCTATCGCAAAGATCCTCGTCAGATGAAGAATCTCGATTGTCTCGACGTTGTAAGTTGCCAGACATTTTATTGGACAATCCATTATGCTAACATTATGAAGCAAATAATTCCTCCCCAAATATCGAAAATGGCCAATTCGCTCCTCCATCCGGGTTAAATCGCAGCGATTCTCGCAACAATTCCAAATTACTTCTTCAAAAAGACAGACTTATTGAATCCTTGCGGTTAGAATTGGCAGAAGCTCAAATCAAATTGGTAGAATCCGAGAATATGGGAGGTGGAAGAATGCAAGAGGTCGAAAAATTACTCTTGGAAGCACGTATGACAAATGCAAGATTGATGGAAGATAATGAGAGTTTCCAATTACTTTTACAAGAAAAGACGTTGAACGGCGACTTCTCAAAGGATCATTTTGAATACATGGGTTCATCTTCCAACGCCGATGCGCTGAATGCTTTGGAGGGACGATCACCAGGAGCTTCTCTCGCAGATGAACTTTCCGAACTTAACGACAATGAAGGCGAAAATGATCAACACCGTCGCCTCGAAGCCGAATTGAAATCTGCCAAGGATTCGAATAAAGCTTTGACATTATACATCAACAAAATTATTGAACGACTACTACAACACCAAGATTTTGAAGCAATTCTTGATTCGGATTTCAAATCTGGAGATGCTAAGGGTCCTGTTAATAAGGATAAAGATCTTCCACCACCTCCACCAAAAGAACAAGCTAGTGGCGCATCTATTCTTCAACGTGCAAAGACTGTAGCTATGGGAAGTCGCAAACCAAGGCCTCAATCTGTTATGCCAATGAGCCATGGAACTCTCAATCAAGATCCCGAAACAGCACCTAGTATACCATTCGGAGTTGGCCGTTCATCAAGTGTTCGACAAGGAGTTCGTCCTAAATCAGAACAGTATACCGGCGGTGGAGCATCAATTGTTAATCAAATGTATAGAGGCGGCCAAACCTCACCACCCCTCCATGGACCTCAAACTCCTCGACACTCGCAAACCTTTTTCGGGACTGGTCCCATGGCCGGTAAACCCACTTCTCGCCATCCCTCCTTAGGTCAAGTACCCACAACGGGTAATTTCCCGGGTCTCAAGAGCGAAACTAGTAGTATAAGCGGAGATAGCGGTGAGGTCAGTACACCGCCCAGTACTAATAGCCCTCCACGCAAAGAGGCGAGAAAATTTGCGGGTAATAAACCAAAGCCATTGCAATTGGTTCAGGATAAAGAAGAAGAGGATAAAACGAAAGCTAAGAGAGCTAGTTGGATGGGGTGGGCTTTTGGTGGCGCAGGAGCTCAAAAGAAAGAGGATGGTGTTGCATCGGCAGGGGTCCTTGGTGAAGATCCAATTATTGAATAATTGCGCAATTGGCTAGGACACTACGATCTGGTTGAATATTTGAGAGAAGCGAATTTGATATGGAGTCTTATTAAATTGGGATAATAATTCTTGGGGAGAGATGTTGGTTGGGAATTTGTGTGGAATAATGTTGGTGAGATATATGATTGATGCATTTGGTGTAGATTTGGAGAATTAGGTGGTGGATATACTTCTTTTTTCTTCCCTTTTTTTCTTCTTCTATACTTCTTCACTACGGTAGGGTTGGCGGGGAAGGGGGGCAGGATATTCTTCCCTCAGTTCGTAGTCTATTTTTACATGGACGTTTATTAGTCTAGATAGACCAGTCTCTTCTCTACATTTTGGGGAGCTTGTTAAGAGCTCGCTGGCGAGAATGATGATGGATGGATACTTTGCATGCACGCAAGCATGCATGCATGCGTGCATGGATGGATGGATATATATGAAAATGAGAATGAATGGATGAATTTGAAATGATATTTTATAAGATGATTTCTGAGATGGGATTTTTTCTGGTGAGCGAATGAGTGAGGAGTGATGGGTGTGATGGGTGTGTTAGGTGTGGAATGAATGATAGGTGTAAAGTAGAGGTGAAGATTCATTTTCTAAATTTTAAATATGAGTGTAGTGATTGTGAGTTTTAGTTTTGTGTATAGTGAGTGTATAAATGTATAAATGTATGAATATATGAATATATAAATATATAAATATAAATATATAAATATATAAATATATAAATATATAAATATAAATATATAAATATATACATATATAAATATATAAATATATAAATATATAAATATATAAATATATAAATATATAAATATATAAATATATGAATATATAAGTATATAAGTATATAAATATATGAGTATATGAGTATATGAGTATATGAGTATATGAGTATGAGTATAGAGTATATGAGTATATGAGTATATGAGTATATGAGTATATGAGTATATGAGTATATGAGTATATAAGTATATGAGTGATAGAGATAATAATGGGATGGGATAATAAATAATTTGTGTTTTGATGGAGTAGATGGTGAGTTTGTGGGATGGGAATATGATTTGGAGGGTGGGAAAGATGGTTGAATGGTTGGATGGTTGGTGGTAGGGTATTAAAGATTAAAGGGTTAGAGGGTTAGAGGGTTAGAGGGTTAGAGGGTTAGAGGGTTAGAGGGTTAGAGGGTTAAAGGGTTAGAGGGTTAGATGGTTAGAGTATTATGAGTATTATGAGTATTATAAAGGGGTGGGGGTTGGTAGGTATGAGGGGGATGGGCAGTAGGAGGGGGAGGGGGAGGGGAAGAGTATGGATATATGAGAAAGGGGTATGAGAGAGGGGTATAAGATATGGAAGGGTACATAAAGAAGGAGGTGATGGAATGAGATAGGTGAATAGTAGAGAGGAAGTGAATAGAATAAAATAAGAACAAGCTATACCTAGCTAGGAAAAGAAAGGGAAAGGAAAGGAAAAGAAAAGACAAACGGAAGCAAATAGTTGGTATGAAAGCATTGTATCTGCGAGGGGCTTTCTTCTGTAGATAGTGTTTGAGGCAGCAATCGTTGGATGCAAGGAGAGGAGAGGAGAAGAGTTTTCTGTGGTGCTTTTTGAGGGTGGATGGATGGATTTTGATGGAGGGTGGGAGTTGGTTTGAGATGATAGGGAAGAGGGATGGGGTGGGGAGGGGTGGTGGTGGTGGTGTTGTTTATTGGTGTCGTTCTTCATTTTTGTTACTTGTTTTTCATTAGCATCATTGTTATTATCAATAAGATAATCCCTCATCAATCACATCGTTCCGGTTTATTTGGCTATTCATTCATCTGTCTATCTATCTATCTATATCTATATCTATCTATCTACACCAAAACTATCAAACTCCACAATTCAAAGCGCTTCTGGGAGAACTTATGTAGAAGTGTAGTTGTGAGGTGGAATTTCTTTAGTGAGGAGGTTCAATATATTTGTCGTTTTACATATGGTGGCTAGTTGGCATGTGGTGATGAATGTTTTTTTTTTGAGGTGGGAGGGGGAGGGGTTTTATATTGGGGTGAGAGGAGGTGAGGTGAAGAAAAGGAGGAGAGGATTAGACGAGAGGGAAGTGGGAGTGGATGTATATTCACTTGTGTATACAACATGTGATGGGTTGGAGATCTGATTGGTAGGTAGGAAGATAGCGTATGAGGGTGATTCATGTCGGTATATGGTTTGTATGTATGTACGAGTATATAAAACTTGAAATCTGTTGTGAGATTCCGATCTTCAAAGGTTCTTCATACTTACAACATGTCCAAATGCGCCTGTGCGGTGTGGATGATGATGGGATGGTGTTGAGATTTGATGTATTTGGGTTTTGAGTTCCTGTATCTGGGGTTGTGGGGTGGGGAGGGGGTGAGATGAGAGTATTCTCATTGTCTATCATCTAATTTGATATTATTGTCATCGTATAGATGTGATTGCGATTTCATCATTTATCATCCCGACAGTATATTCAATTACTATAAAATCTAAGTTGAATTCAAGCATTGGCGGAAAGTAAAAACCAGTACAGTCATTCATAATATATGCATCCTTTTTTTGCGAACAAAATGCTCAGAAACCCTGGCCTGTTTCACATCCTCATCGCTTTTTGTAATGTGTTTGACATCTCAATAATAGAAAGTTCTTTCTATTTATATTGGAGAGAAGGATTATATGGTGGGGTTAGGGAGGGGTATAAAAGAGGATTCATTTATTATTCCATTTCTATTTGTATAACGCTCCCGGTTCTGCGGATTTATTATACCTCCCTCGCTTTCATTTTTGATTTCTTTTTAGAGTGGATATGACGTCATGATGAATTCATTGCTAGATGTTCTAGAGGAGGGGGAGGTTTTATTCGTTTATATAAACAGTTCAAGGTTTGTTGTTTTTATGATCTTTAAACTACCTGCCACCGTTGATATTGATAAATATGTCGGGAAAGCAAGAAGTAATTGTCGTAGGGATTAAGGTTGATAGATGGACTAGGATGCAGTGTTGTACTTGCTTGGAGTTTGATGGTAGTTTCTTGGGAAGTTGAAGATTTTTGTTATCAATTTTCTTCTTTTGTCGGTGACTTGAAGATGGGATGTTCATTATCACTTATAAAGTACTATTGCCGGTGGATGTTTGATGTTTGATGTATGGATTCTAGGCTATATAAAGTATGGAATTGTTTACTTGCGATGGGGCTCTGAGGATGGACTTGCGATGAGATCGTATGGTTCTATGTGGGTTAGGATGTTGACATTCCTATCACAGTCCACATATACAATGCTAGTGATGTGCTGTACGAGAGTTCAGAATTGAGATGGTTGTCTTCTTATACTGTATAGAGGGGTAGTTTTTGGGACCCAGAAAGAGGAGATGGGAATGAAACAGGAAGGGGGTTTTCACATACACATAGCGCGGTTAAGATAGAGAATGCAGATATGGTAAAAAGTATCAACTCGCCCTTTCTTCTCTCTACTATCTTCTAGTTAACTACTAGTGATCGAGTGGTATGAGTATAATGTATGATACTTCATACGGATTTTTCGATTTAAAACGGTTTTTGAATCTGAAATTCACTTTCTAATTCTTTAATATAATATAATTTCATATTTATATCAAATTGTTTTTCATAAAATAAAATTAGAAATATAAATAGAATTGTTTAATATTAATTAATAATAAATAATAGAAGAAATCATAAAACTTAATATAGATTTCCTAATTCAAAATAATTTTTGAATTTTATATTTATAATCTGAACTTTTAAATCTTTTAAATCTTTTAAATCTTAATATAATATCAAAATATTAAATATAAAAAGAGTAGACTATATTAGAGAATCAGAAAGTGAATTTCAGATTTAAAAACGTTTTGAGTTGAAAAATCCGTATAAAGTATTATAATAATATTTTATAAGTTAGATTATATATATTACACTCATCTTTTATCTTTTGATATCTTTAATAGACAAGGACAAAGGCAACGAATACTATGACAGGAGTTGATTTCTTAATGCGAGAAATATTATGAAATGCGAAGGCTATTCTCGCTCTCGACTTAGGGTTATCTGTAGACAAGAAAAATATGGATGGGGAAATAGAGAAATGAGAGGGGAGTATGATATAGTTTTGTTGTTCTTTTACGAACTTACTGTCGGGTGTAGAATGGTATAGCGGTTAATGCTGTCGTTGATCAAAGTATGATTCCTTGTCGAGTCTGAAAGTTCGGATTGGAGGCAGGATCGGATTCTATTGGCCAGAATTGATTGAGAGGTTACTATGTAATCAATTATACAGTTTCATGAATATCGTTTCGTTGCCTATAACCTGCTATTTTATCACTATACCTCACAGCAGCTTCCAACGTATATTTCAAGCTAGTTATAGACCCAATCAATTATGACATTTGGAAAATAATGGATGGAAATGCAGTTGCTACAGTGTAGTATGAACATAAGTCGATAGTAGGAGGGTAATAAGGTTAGATTCCCTTCTGGACGAGAGAATATTTGCGAGTAACAAGATGAGACAAGAAGACATTTCTTTGCCGTCATTTAATTTCATTGTCGGATAAGTAATGATACTATCAATTACTGTCGTTTCTCGGTTTTAAGCATACATGGACTGTTCGCCTGCTTCTTATGGATTACATCTGTTCGAATCCAGCGATGTATACGTTCAATATCGTGTTTCTCAGCCTGCCAATCTCTCATTGCCTCTGTCAGTATCCACTCCTTGTAAGGTTTTATGTGTCGTTGTTTCGAAAATGATTAGAAATTAAATTTTCAGAGTTGTCTTTATGTAGAGATGTATTTTAAAATTCAAATCTCGGTTAATTTTGAGAGGTAAGTAATAGGCGCTCGAGAAAAGAAATTCACTCTACTAATATGCTTTGGAGATCACTGTATCGAAGAAGAAGAAGAAGAAAGAAAAGAATGTGATCGGTGATTCACATCCTTGATATATGCTTTTGAGCAATATTTGAATCACAGTAGTAAATCGAAATTCGGATTAGAGAAGGTAGGGTAGACGCTTACAGTTATCTATTTAAGCCGGTTCTAATTTTACTGAAAAGTAAAAAAGCAACATGAATGAACAACAGGTGTTTCAGCAGTATTTTTTATCGCCATAATTGACGTATTAATTCGGATGAGCAGTTTATATTTCCTCATCTAGTATTTTTTGGTTCTTGTTATTGCTGTCGCTAAATATCCACTATACATCCCATCTCTCTATCTCGAAAAGACTTTGTCGTTACTGTCATGTATTAGAAATTTGCATCTGAGATGACATATTGATTTATTACTGATTTCCTGACCTCCTCTTTCACTTTGAAGAGGATCGCATCCTAATTAGTAACGCCGCCCCTCTGAAAGACATCGAATCCAGAGTCTCATTTGGAATGTAAAGAATTTATAGGTAGTCATTTGGAGTTCGTTTTCCTTAATGCATCGCTTAGTAGCGCATGTAAGCTAGGAGTATGGAGAGAGGGGCGAAATTGCCGTAGAAAGACGAAACAAAGCGCCAAAGGAGAGGATGGATGGTGATTCACACATCTACTCCTCAACACCCAAAAAGGAAACCATTGTAGATGTGTGTTAGCGACTCATGAAACTAACACATTCGGGAAGACACAGGGGCACGTGTACTGTCCCTAGTGTCCCCCCCCTCGAAGTCCATTTTCAATCCTCGTTGATCTATGCTATAAGGTTGAGACCGATCCAATTTGCTAACAGTCTGCAGAGATCTTAAGATTGAGGAGTTATCTCAAGCTTTTTAAATATCTCCCCTCTACTTTAAGAACCCTCACATTGATCGATAAAGCGGGTCAGAAGATGGCGAGTAGGCAAAACTAAATATACACTAGACGGCAACTAGTGACATTAGTATAGTTCACTCCACACCTCATCACCTGGGTAGACTACTAGTCTCTCAATCCCTCTCCCCCACTCAGAAGATCAATCAAAAATAATAATCAACAAACACTTCTCTTGAGAATCCAAAGAAAAAAAAATGCAAAAAAATCAAGCTTCTTTATTGGGAATTGAGCCCAACGGGGGGGTCGAACCCCCAACCTTGTGATTAAGAGTCACACGCTCTACCGATTGAGCTAGCCGGGCAGGCTTTGCTTGATGGTTTGTTGAAGACAGTACCTGTGTTTGAGAATATATTTGGGGAATCAACAGGAAAAATTTGTAAAAACTTTTCTTAGGGGGGATTAAGCGAGATGATAGTGGGGCTGGCTCATGCGATGATTTTTGGTGGGGGGGATGAGGAAAGATTTTGCTCTGACCATACTCAATAGCTCTCATCACATGAAATGCTCTCATAACTTGAGAGAATACAAACACACATAGGAGAAGATTGCAATTTTCGGGAAAACTGGCCTAGGATGACTTTCCGTGAAGAGGTTGTATTGCGGAGTACTTGGGGCTTCACGGTATTTACTCTATACTCTTTGATCACTCGTTGTCGAATGAATAAGTATTCATTATTGTCGCATCGAAATGTTTCGTTGTTGTATCTTTACTTGAATGCCCATCATCACTCCCTTCATATCAAACCGTTTTTCCCTTCCCTACTCCATTCTCTTATCTAATCCTGCACATATGAATTGAAAAGGGTTGTATTGAAGGATCATAGTTCTTCTTCCCAATGGAATCCATATCCACTCTCATGGTATGGTACTTCGATGATGCTCTTGTTGCACATCTTGGTGGCAAATTTGGGGTTTGTTGCATGTCTCAACATCCTGAATGCCCGGAGATTCCGATGCACTTCCACTCCAGACTTGGAATATTTGAAATCAAGAAGATGATTTGTTGCACATCTGCAAAATTTGGAATTGGTTAGAGCGAATGGAAAAACACCGAATTTCATACTAGGAATATTATACTTACATTTGGACTTCCTGGTTTTCGGCTTGAAGAATGTATCCAAAAGACAGGAATAGAGGGAAATTTATTGTGAATATTTCCATTTGCTATCCATCGCTTTCAATTCGACTGTGGGTTAGAGATAAGTAGTGAGTTCCAAATCATTTCTTGAGACAGAAAAGTATGTCTTTGTCATCGCAGGATAATCTAAACTCCAGGAAATTTTCGCCTTGGATTAGGCTCCACGAAGGTGAGAATGTTTGTATGAACCTGAAACCTGACTAATACACAGCTTGGTAACGAGAACCAAACAAGCTGGGACAAGCATGACCTCTCTCTCATTATACACATACAATTACAGCCCGTCGAAGTGCAAGTCCGGTGGTTTATCATAGATACAATTTCATTGATGAAATTCCGCCGTGGTAATCTCATCTCACAATTCCAATCTAAATAAGTCAAAAATATGGTCAATTCAGTCTACTATCATACCACTCTGAATTCTCCGAAGTTCCTCAGAGCTCTTGAGGATCGAGAGATCCTGATCATGCATCACGTGCTCCAAGTGAAATTCCCTCGCTTCCGCCCAGGTGCGCTGTCATACTGTACATAATCCCACAAACAGCCTCTCCTGTCACATACGACCATAGACTGAAGAGAATTGGGCATCCCGTCCGCTCTGCCATACACAAGCTTCAGATCGGTGGATTAGTAGTTGGGTGGGTGACCACCAGCGAATCCCCACTGTTGTATGTTTCTTATTACTTTTTGCTGGTCCATATACCTAGGTATGCTATTTGCCTTTGTAGGACGTAAGTAATGATTAAGTATGCTTTTGACGTGTGCTAAGCACAAGTTATTCTACAGGTCCATATTCATGAGACGTAGACAACACACAGTCCACGGCTATCCATCATTCTAATGTAAATTTTTATGAATGTACTTCGATTCATGACACGCTCCAGAGTAATCTATAGCAAACTTATAGCTGAGAATGGCAATGCAGATATGAGAGTTTTATTCTTTTTTACGGAAAATAGAATGATGAAAGACTAACCGACATCGATTGCAAAAGATTGAGAGTATCGTAAGAGCAACAGCTAATCGACCTTTAGGGTCGTGCCTTTGATATGATATCACAGCATGGAAGCCGGGGACAAAATTTTGGTATAAGACTTGAATCGGATAGAATTTATGGAATGTGTACAAACCAGGTTTAAACCATCAGTGGGTGCATCATGGGTTGACGGAACCCTTCCTAACTTTCGAAATTTTTAAGAAATTCGTTCTTCAATTATTTGATATCAGAATTTATATTTTGATTGTTTTATCTCTAACAAACAATTATTAGAATTCCTAAGACACAAAACTTGATATATCAAGAGATATTCATAAGTCCTTTCTTACAGTGTCCCGTCAGTCTATACACCCACTGGTGAACCAACTATTCTATTCTTCTATTGTAGCTCTCCTTTGACAATATCCAGAGATGGATGACATCTATCATCAGCCAGTGTAAATCCTTGCTGTCTAATGATACCCCGAAATTTCCCTCACGCCCCGTATGTAATCGTTAACATCATTATCCTGTTTGATTGCATTTGAAGCTCCCCGAACTGCCATACGACCGTTAGCGCATATCGTCAGAACCTTCTGAATGCATAACATACAGATGGAAAGCAATGATCTCTTCTTTTTCTTCAAACGATGCACCTGGTAGGGTAAACATTCTGTCCAGTTACCCAAAGCCTCGGCTCGTGAATCTATAATATCTTCCCATTCATCTTTTGGGCGATACTTCAACCAACCGATCAAATCCTTGACATCGTTCTGCGACGCTTCACAGCAAGCGAAAATATTTATGATTAGTCCAATGAAAAAACCAACAAGGCATATCATGAGCCCGACGAAATCACCAGGGCAAAAATTAGTATCTTTGGAATGAATGATACTACAGTATTCTGTAGATGTTGGAAGAGCGACAGGTGCTGAGACAATCGCGTCAACGACTGCAATCCGAGTCGTTACTGCCCAGATGCTAGTTTGGTGTCTTACAACCTCAAGTGTTTCTGTTGAAAGCATTTTAGAGGAGCCAGCAGTTTTTTATGCCGAGTTGCAAACGATCCGGAGCAAATGTCAATCTTTTTATCGAATTTGTATTTCGAAATCCAACTATGGTTACTTTTGTTAATAATCGAATTGTGATATTTCAATTTTGATGCCATAAACTTCCAAGATGAGAGCCTTTCACCGGATTCCCTGTTCATTCACACGTTGGAAACCTCAAAACACTATGGTTATGGATGTAGGAATAATGTACTCGAATTTATTTGATGCCAGTCTGCCACGAAATGATGATATCGAAGTTCTTGCTCGAAAATGAAGTGGTGTGATATTTAATGGTTTGTGGGAGCCGCTAATTTTTAGATTTGCGACGGACTGAAATGTATGACGTACTGGTCAGTTCCAAAAATTGTGTTTCATCGGGTAATCGTGAACTTCATTCATCACCAAGGGCTTCATGTGACGCACTGGTTTGGGTTGATAATGCCTACTATGGCAGGAAAGTGAGAAGGCTTCATGGAAGAAGCCGTATTTCATATATCTTTCGTTCCTCTGTTCTCCGAATTGTGGAGATTCGTTGAAATTAGAGAAGCCTTGGCTGGCTAGAGAAAAGCTTTGTTCGATCTCCGGAATCACTGAATTCTCTCAGTGCTCTGAATAGGGATGTTCCGTGTGATGGTTGAGATGAGAGATCCCCTCGAGGTCGAATTTCAAGGTGTACACCAGGCTGAATAAGATGTTGCGAATCGTACCAGATGAGTTTAAATCAGTCTTTTGCCTAGAGAGTCGAACAAAGTAAGGCGCGTAGTGTACCCCAAGATTGTGTTCACGGAGGAAAAATGGTTATATCCTAGGGAAGATTTGCTATGAAGCCACAGAGGGAGAAGAATCTGTACACCAATCACGATGGAAAAGCCATGATGAGGACTGAAAGGATGTCAGCTACCTGTCGCAGAGTTGTGTCTACCCCAGAGGGCAACGGAGGCGATTATGTGAACTGCACTAATTATGAAAGAAGCAAGGTCTAGCGGATATCCCTTGTGGAATAGACATTCGTCCAGCATTTCGAGGCTCATTCAACAATTCCTCTCTGTCGATCTCTATATCTCTGTTGCTGTTGTGAAGGAGTTGGTAATCTCCTCGTGGAGAGGTATGATCTATACTCCTATGAAAGTTATGTCGTCAGAGAACAGAGAAGGATCTTTGCATCTGATACTGATGACTTCCGCCAGTCTGCATATGTAAACGCCACCCTCGAGTTTTGCCTTCCAATCTACAATCGAGATATCGCAGTTCTTGGGTATTGCACTGACCTTCTTGTGTCTAGGTAGTAGAGTACGGAGTCTGACTCAACACATATGGAAAATGATTGGCCCTTCTGACATAGCCGAGGACTCATAAAAAATTTAATGCCTATATTTCTCAAAAAAGAAAAGAAAAAATCAAGTAGTATCGATAGGTAGCATAGACTAGACGGTAGGAAAAGTATGTTGGAGAAAGTGTGCGAAAGGAAAACTTCTTCGGTTGGGATCCCAGAAAAAAATGCCAATATCGCATATCGCCAGCCAAGCCCCAAAATGGTGAGGTGGTTTCGTCGATTGGTGGACTGTCTTAACAATTTACAATGGCGAATGGATACAAGTGTCGAGATGCGCATGTTGGTTTGAGCATTTGTTTGAGCTTAACAAAAACGAGGAGACTTTTTCGTAACTGTTGGTCGACTGGCTGATTGGCTGATTTGGGACAGTTACTTGACGCCTCTGCCTAGGTGCTCTTCCTAACTGATTCGGCTAGGGTCTGAGAAGCATGGCTATGTTGACCATCATCTCAATAAGAGATTTCACACATGCAGCGAGACTTCTAAAGGTGTAGGGAATTTTCCCGTCTTCTGAACTCTTAACATATTTGCCGTGTCAGCCCAGCTTGATTATGTCCTTAATTATGATATTCACCATAGTCAAGAGACGGGGTAGTTCTCTAGAATCGACTAGCTGGGAATTGATTTGGAGCATACGCGGGACTCGCTTGGAGATCAGAAGTTGACAAAATTTCACTATCGTCGATTGCTACTTTCTTGAGAGTAATATCCATGTTGATATGTGAACTATGGTAATATTTGGATCCAAGAGACCATCTGCCATGATGTCTTGTGCTCTCATACCCCATCTCATGTTCAAAGGCATGTCCTAGTTTTGCAGAGTGTGGAAACGTACTCCGAAAAAATGGATCAAATGATGATCGCAACCCAATTCAAATAGTTAAGAATTGTGTGAGCTGAGGTGTCTTCAAAGAGATAAATTAAGATCTGGTGCGAACGAAGAAATCGTATATTGAGGTATTTAATCCGGATGGAAAGTTGGATTTTCGGCTTCTAGCTCTAACAAAGCAGGCAAGGTGTAAAAGGAAGTTTCTAAACTCAAAAGACAGCTAGACTAATGAAGTTTTATTCTATTGATGAAAAGTGGAGTTGAGTTATTTAATTCAGAGACGCAATCGAATTTCCAAATCGAGTTTCGAATAACGGAAAATGAGATGGATGAGCTGTAGTACCTTGTCCAAATATGCAATCGACTTCAGTTTGTGCATTCAAATCACTTGAGACACTGAAATTTTCTGGTATGTTGATTTGATTTGATGCGCTTATACTTTGGGACACTTACATGAGTTAGTAAACTCATATATCTTGAGAAATTGACAAGAATTAAAACAATAGTTTTGCATTGAACAATGAAATAACTCGAGATATTAAAGCAAAGTAGGCTACTGGAATCATTTGAGATGCTGAAATAACTTGAGATATCAGAATCAACTCAAATATCCAAATAATCCAAAACATTAAAAGCATCAAAAGCATCAAATTCATCAAATTCCTTTCAGACCATAAAACAACATAAAAATCCAAAAGATTGAAAAGATTGAAAACACCAAGTACATCTTAAATACCAAATCTACCACAGTATCCAAATCCATTCGATATACACAATTTCCATCCAACAATTCATCAACATTTTACTTAATTACAAGAAATGAATGACACAGCTAGAATTTCTTTTCAATGTTCAAGATGATGCGTGCGAACTATGATATGATATATTGAAAGAGGGAAGGAGAATAGACACATGGAAAGAGATACAAGTGGCTATCAACCATCCAAGGTTCTAAACCAACTCATTATAAACATCCAGATACACAACCCAAATTAACCCAGTATTACTCCCATTAATTTTCTCGAGACTCCTTTCACTTCCATCGAGAAAAACGCAAGCGCAGTTCATTCAATAACCAAGTCGTCTCAAGCATACACAGCAAAATCGAGTCACTTTCATGCTTCACTCCATCTCATTTCACCGATCTTGAATATTTGCCCTCCTGTAGATATCCAACTACATGTAGGTATTATACATAGCTATCTATGTAGAGGGTTGATCTTAACATTGAGCATATAAGAAACTGATGAAGGGCGTTTACTATGGTTTAAATTTGTACTGGTTTCTTTCTACTTTTCTCTATAGTTTCTAAAGTTACTATCTATATTATTACCACCATCCATTTTGCAACCTCAATATCAAGCATCACCGAGGCCCTAGCCACTCCATCCGTCAAATCAATCTATTTTCTCTTTCCGTTTTCTCACTCCCTTCTTAAACCTAGACACACTAGGCTTCATAGCAAACCAAGCCGGCAATGCACATTTTCCCACCAAGCCCCCAAAATCCGCTCTACATTCTTCCAAAAACTCCTCATCCGAGTATGTGTTTAACAATCTCGACTGTTCGCCCCCAGATTTAGAGTCCACAAGTAATTGCAGAATTTGCATAAGCGAATCCGGAGTCTTGGGAAGAACTTGCACCGTCTGACCAGTACGTGCAGAAACGAGGAATCCTGATGATTTTTCCCCGAGAAGTAACATGTACAAAGCAACCTGTAGTAGATGCTCTGGAGATAAGGAATCTGAATGTTTGATTTCCCAGACAGCGGCGATCTCCTTTTTGGGTCGACATATATCCATGGCGCCAGTGATTATGACTCCTGATTTCTTCAACGGTCTTGTAGGCCCACCACCGTGGGTGATAAGGGGAAATTTGCGGTACCTCAAGCTTTCGAAAAATATACCTCGTCCTGAAATTTTGGCGTCGCCTGGTAGCGTATTTAGGACATAATGAATATCTTTACAATAAGTCTCTGTTATCCATGTGTACCCCATCAATGGAATGCTCAATAGCTTGGTAATATCTTTATCTTTTGCTGCCATCTCAAGGTTTGATAAATATAACAAATCACCGGTTGTAATAACTCCAGTTTCATACGCGTATTTTATGTGCTCGATTCTCTCATAAAATTCTCTCGGGAGCTCGCGTAGCGGGTTTCGTCGTTTCGTTGGCCTCTTAGGTGACTCGAGAAGTTTTAAAGGTTCCGCAAGTATGGCCGACCTCTTTTTTAGGCGCCACTGGTAAATAGCAGGAATAGCTGTTCCAGTAATTGCTGCCACAGCTTCAACAAGACCATAAATGTCTTGTATTTCAGAAGGTGGAGGCGAGGTTCCGTAAGTCGGTTCGGCAAGCATTCTGAACTCGAGACGACTTAGACAGTCTGTTATGAGAGTTTCTGAAACATTTCGACACAATGCAGTGACGCCGAACATAGGCACTTGTCTTTCAGGGCCTGGGGATTGAATATCCAGATCACGAGTCATGACTAAATCGCATGTTTCATCCACAGTGTCCAGGTCCACAAAGGGCAAGGGTGCGTTTGTGTGAGCATGAATAAGGACAAGATGCTCAAGTGCCCGAGTAGCTGCTACGTATTGCGGATTAGTGACAGCAATGGGATCTTCGGAGACCTTATTGAAGTAGCTGTGATATGCCTGATCAAATCCAAGAACAATCGAGGCCTTCCGCTCGATTCCCTTTGCTTGATGATAAGTGCAGATCAATACTTTTCCATGAGCAACTTCAGGTGCGATTTCTGATATATCCGAGTCTGATCTGAATACAGGGATTCCTCGGAGTGCAAGATCATTAGCGAGATAGATTGCAGGCGAGATACCACGCACCGATGGAGAAAGGACTATTAAATCGTTTGGGGATATGCCAGGAAGTTCCAGAAGTCGCTGTACCTCGTGCACTAAGTCATCATATGGATCGCATATAACATAGCGTGGTTGAGGATAGGGTCGACCTGATGCATCATGGGATTTTACTGCCCGCATGGGCTTTCCACTGGGATCTTTGAGAAGTTGCTGATTGATGAAGTCAACATTGGATTGTGTCATACGATTTGAGGCAGTCTGATCCGCCAGGATCCATTCTTGGTCATTTATGTAGCCAAAAACTTCAGGACGATCAGCCATGGACAAGAAGCGCGAATCGGCATTGTTAAATCCATAAACTTCTTGACGTCTATCTCCCAAGACTACGACTCTCAACGGTTGTTCTGCTTTAGGCTGTCGATTAGGTCCAATAAATCCTTTGTCACGTAAGACCTTATCCACGAATCGTTTCAATATCGGTGTCATATCCTGCTGCTCGTCCAGAATCAAGACCGAAAAATCAGGAAGTTCCATGTTTTCAAAGATACTCATATCATCCTCCACAACTCGCTTGAGGCCTTGATCGGTAGCACATTCTGACGTGTAGTACCTAGCTCCGAGTGTATGGTAGTTTTGAACTGTCACATTGGTCAAGCCCAAATCTTCTATCCTCTGTTTTGTCTCTAACATCAAGCGCCGATTGTAAACCAATACTAAAAATCTGGTATCAGGTGCAGATTGTGCAAGGTGCAAGATTGTGGTCGTTTTTCCAGAACCAGCACATGCATCAACAATGATATTCTTTTTAGTATGTAATAATGTGTCAATAGCAATTTGTTGTTCAGGAGATGGTGGTAATAACGTCCTGGGTGGTCCAATACCCCGGACAGCAGCGACCGTCTCATCAGGAACACTTTCCGTCGCTGCAGCTGCAGCATGCGCCAATTTTCTGATGCAGAGAACAATACCATGAGGTAGACCAACTTTCTGACTCAAGACTGCCCATGGCAACGTGCTTGGCGAGTATGGGAAGAGGTGCCTAGAATGACGTGTAACCAAAGGTGTGCTCAACGTCGCAAATGGCCGTCGAAGGCAACCTCGAAGCATGATGGAGTCGAGATCAATATCGCTTATTAAGTGAGTACATGCAAAGGGAGCTTAGGTTGCATACGTGACTTCAATTTTGAGGATGGGCGGAGGAGGTTGGAGTCCTCTCAGCCGGATGAAGTGGCAAACGACAGCATATGCAACATATTGCTTTTGATGAAAACCCAGTTGAAGGCACTAGGAGTACAATCAAAACGCGAGGAATGTATTATGAGTTATATTGCTTTTGACATATCTCAATAGGGAACGACTAATGATTGTGATATATTGCCATTTGATTCTCTTGAACGGAATTTGGGTGGAGCAAGAGCTATTGACGTTATCGATGCATGATTTGGTTAGCTGACTAAGCAACACGACGAGAAAATGGCAGAGTATATATGGATTTAGTTTCCATACTTGAGATACACATCCTATTGAAATCACAAAATGAAACCCAAAATGGTGTCACTATTTAAGTATATAGACAATCAGTCACAAAGTGAAGGCATCGTGTTCAAAAGAAAGAAGACTCCTCATCGAGTGCCCTTCCTAAATTAGCTTCGGAAGCCAGCTTTTATTTCTTATTCTTATGATATTCAGAATTGACACAATCTTACGCGGCCAGTTTCTGCTTAATGCATATCGATTCCAATTTCTTTGCTTTTGGGACTACCTAGGTAGTTACTAGATACATCATAACATTTTGGGTCTGTCGAGGTCGGTCGGTTTGTATCTTCATGGCATCATCAACATGTTCATTCTATTCCTCCCTCTTCCATTAGCAATTTAATACCTGTGATTCTATTTTCTGTGCCCTATTTCCCTAATGTTCTTACCTAAGTTAAGCCCAACGATATTCTCATTCCAGCATATCCCCTCGAGCACCCTGATAGCAAATACCCGATGACTCTGACATTAAACACTTGACCAACAAGTAAAACCTCTAATAATCACCACTTGTTGCACCTTCAAAAGGTTAAAAAACAAACAAACGTGATTACAATCCTCCTCAACTACACTCCAATCACCACCAAGATTTCCCTTATTTTATATGACGACCTGTCTCATCGACCACATACCGAGTCACCCATGAACGTAAGAAATGCCCATTACCAAAATATCCATGTTTGCTGTATGAAAAATTTGTAAAGTGGTATTTCAGGGGATGAATCAAATTCCTGCAATCTCCCAAGGCGTGCACCCCTCAGATTCAAAAGTGTTTCCCGTACACCGAGACACGTGATAATTGTGCGTTGCGTTTTATGATATGTGCATCAGCGAAACACTCAACATTTCGGACAATATCGAAAACGGTCTGGAAGCGAATTTAACGGGCGAAATCATTGATCCCCGCTCCGAGGCAAGAAATGTGACCAATATCGCTGCGATTTCAACAATTGAAGAATGCAATGCTACCACATGCGCATCGCAATGGCCTTATTTCCTGATGCAGGATTGTGAAGCGATTGATGTGAGGATTACCGTGCCGCATAATACCATCAGGAACGCCTATCTAGATTCCTAGTTTCAGATCGCCGACGCCGATCCCTTCATTTCCACTTTCTGCAGCACAATGCACCCCAAGATAAATCTTTTTAAAATGGATCTTTGCGCCTTATAAATGCCCGCGAGGATCTGACTTGAGCTTGTAGATGCATGAAACTATATGTGAATTAGAGTTGGGGTGGTCTCACTACCCCACCACTACTTCATTCCTGGTCGTGGACTCGTGGGGTAGGCTTGATAATCTTCATTGAAAATATAATGTTTTGTAAGACTTCAAGAAGCTTGTATTGATAATCATCAAAATGGGATTTTTAGAAAATTAAGGCATACGAGCTTACTTGTATTCTTATTTGCCAGGTCCGAGACTTCTTGGATACCAAGTAACAGAAACAGGTCAAGGTACAAAGCCAGAAGCCCTACCAGTGGTGGCTGGTGAGATGACGATAAATGGGGTGGGAAAATGAGACAAATGATGCCCACCTGGTTACATTTTCTTCAGACGAAGAAACGAGATACTTCCCGTGGGGGTTGTAACATCTTCTTACCTTGTAATAAGCCAAGTGAGTCCCTGTATAGAAATATGAGGATGCATGACAACCAGGGTAATTCATCCTTACACCAAATCGTCCCGCTCCAAATCCATGTTCGCAGAAGTTTAGAATGTATACTTCTTATTTCTTGGAGAAACACCCATACATGCTCCTCTTTCCCCGTCGTCTGTGAATTGTTTCGTGGGAGTAGTAGTCGTGCTTGGATAGTAAAGTCTCCTGGTTACGATGAAGTTGAGAGAGTCAATCATGGTTATCAATCCTGCGATCGTTTCGCATGGTGTCCGTGTGTGTGAATACTGAAGAGGATGTTATGTCTCTCGAGTAGATTTCACCCCGACGCCCGAATCTATCTGCGGATCGTTTCGGACAACAGATAGCACAATCTCCTCCATGTAAATGTGATTGACTTTTACGGTATTGTGTCGGCCCTAGGGTACGAATTCCCTGCTCTGGAAGAGAGATCTCTTTGACTGAGCCGACGCGCCATCGTCTACGTGCCGATTTTCTGCTGGTTTTGACTGTGGTGTAGCATGCAGAAGGGATTGGGCGCTGCAATGAACGTAACTGCACCATCGTACTCACCTAACATATCTCCATCACCAAAAGTTAGCTTGAATCTGACATGAGTAAACAACATGAAGGACGTTTTCATACCAACTATTGCCAACTCTCTGCGGCCCTTTCGACAGGACTTCCGTGATTATCAGGGAGCGAGACTCTCATTGTCCATTCATTTCGTAGGGCGTTCGTCTTTGACGATAGGAATTGTGAGTCTCACGCCGCCAATGAGCCTCCAATCAAACAAAATTAATTTGGGTCAGCAAGTTGCATTTGATTCTGGAATATAATTGGTCGTGTCAGCAGGTTGCATATTACTCGCACTAATTTCCCCTGTTCATCCAATCATTTTCTCTTCTTATCATCAAAAGCGGGGTTAATAATTCCGCATAACAGCCTCCTCGTGTAGCCTCGTCAGCTCTTGTCTCTACCTGTAAAGTAAAATCGTATATCATTCACACATTCCTCATATCACAATATGTTTTCTTTCTCACTCCAATTGCTCAATCTTCCTCTCTTACAGCTCCCACCACCATTCCCACCATAAATTCTCTTCCAAAAGGCATCATGCATTTAATTCTAACCGGCGCAACCGGTCTTGTCGGTTCCGGTATTCTCCACCAGATGCTCATACACCCCTCAGTTACCAAAATATCAATCCTCTCTCGAAAGCCTGTTCCCCTTGCTGAAACGCATGCAAATAGCAAGAAAGCAACTGTCATCATCCACTCTGATTTTAAGGATTATCCGGAGACGGTTTTGGAGCAATTGAAGGGAGCAGAGGGATGTGTTTGGGCTTTGGGTATTAGTAGTGCGGGAATGGATAAGGAGTGAGTCTTCATTCATACTCTGCGAGGATTTGTGTTTATCAGTTTGGAGAACAATGCTAACGAATCAATCGTAGAAAATACATCGAAATAACCAAAACCTACACCCTCCGCGCCGCTCGAGCTTTTCCCTCCCTCTCCTCGCCCAAACCCTTCAAATTCCTCTACATATCCGGTGAAGGCGCAACCACATCTCCTGGTATGCTAACTCCCATGTTCGGAGTCGTAAAAGGTGAAACTGAAGCCGAATTACTCGCTCTTCCTGCGGAAGAAGGTTGTGAGAATCTCAAAGTATACAATGTGAGACCAGCCGCAGTGGATTCTTCTCAACATGGAGAGGTCAAGGAATTTGTGCCGCAGAGAACGGGTTTCTTGAAGCTGGTAGACATAGGATTTACTCCAGTGGTAAGGACTGTGGGTAAGAATCTACTTACGCCGACTAGGGAGATGGGAAAGGTGATTACAGAGTTGATGTTGGGGAATGGGGAAAAATTAGAAGGGAGTGGAGTTATAGAGGGGAGAACTTTGAGTAATATTGGATTGAGGAGGATGGGAGGATGGTAGACAAGAGGAAGAGGTTTTGACATGATTCTCACGATTTTCATTTGGTAATAGAGCAGTTTTAATATAGTATTGAAGAGGAATTCATTTACTCTCATTTTATCTCATTTCGAGACCTTACGAATATCTACCTATCTTCAAATCTTTTTTGATAGCTACCTAGTCTCTGTAGCTCCATATGTTCCTTTCAATTCCCATCCATTCAACCCCAAATTCTCCCAATAGGAAAGTCCTAACACATTCCATCTTTCCATCCATCAATCCATAATCCGTCCATAATCCATCCATCCCCTAATACAAAGGAAATCCAAATGATAGACAGTATAGTATAACATCTCCCCCAAGCCAACATTCCCCTTTTAAGAATTAAATAAAATTGGTATCATAGAATCGAGTATAACAAAAAGGAAAAACATAATAAAATTAGAGTACCCAAGAGAAAGACAGCCGTATCATAGCAGACGATGTGAATCGTGAAAGTCGTTATACGTTTCTACACGGAAAGCAAAACGCCCGCGAGATTAATGCGGAGGAAACACCAAGAAGTGTGGGAAAATCGCCAGCAAAAATAAAAGAGCACAAAGATAGGTCAGGTAGGTAGGTGAAGATTTAAACCTTAACACCTTGCTTTCCAGCAGGCATGGTAAAAACCATTGGTCTGAGCAAGAAAGGCGACATTGGCGCCGCAGGTGCAGAAGATGAGAAATGGGAATCAGCTTGCGAAGCTTCAGTAGCCTTTTCCTTTCGTGGGGCTTGTGGTTGAGCGGTTACTTGCTTCTCATGGGACTCATCCGAAGAGGAAGACAAAGTAGGATCACCCATTCGATTAATCTCATCTTCCACATCGGCCAACAGAGCAAAAACATCAGAGTCAGCATAGATGCGAATAGATTCCACTGCTTTGCGTCTCGATTCTCTCTTCTCTTTGAGTTCCGCTTCGGAAAGTTGGGGTTGGGGAGTCATAACGTCGACTGTACGATGACTTTCTCGCACAGGACTAATTCCCTTGATAGGGCTTCGTGGAGGTGTAATGGTATTTACACTATTATTATCTTTCTTAATTGAAGGAGCAGTAACGGGCATAAAGACAGCAGCGGCAACATGTTCCAATAACTTTTGACGCACTCGTGTGCGTCTATTCTCAGCTTGATCGAGCTTGGATACCCAGTCATCGATTGATGAATCGAGTTCCGATAGTGCTTCTTCTTGTTTGAGAATGGCATCGTGGGAGAATTTAGCGGTGCGGGGTGAGCGGAGATAGGTACAAATGCGATCGTGGAGATTGCGACGACCGGCACGGAGGGAACGGTGGGTTTTGCGGAGGTAGAGACAGCGTTCGTCTAGAGCGCGAAGTTCCTGGGTTGGTTAGTAAGATGTTGGAAAAAGGAGAGAGAAAAACATACTCTTGACAGAGCATCCACATCTTTTGAATTGAGAACCTCAAAGCGACAAACTTGGCCAATAGCCTGACATCTAAGTGTCTCCATTTCCGTTTTAGTCAATTTCGAACTTGCTTGAGCAGCTTTGACACCCTGGGGTAAATGTTCGAAAGCCATTTGCTCCTCGGAAGTAGGAGTTCGTTTTGAATGCAAGAGCTTGGGGGCCGATGCTTTGATGGGTGATCCATCACTTCGCTTCTTAGGTCTTCCTCGATCCATTATTGAGGGACCAGATTCAGATCCTCCGCGTCGATGAGGTACATCGTGAGTCATGGTTCCGGCTCGTGGCTGTTGGACGAAGTTCTCTGATTGATTGCGGAAATGACCGGGTGAGGTTCGTCGAGGGGTTGGAAGTGGAAGAGTGACTGAGCTAGAATTTGCGCTCTGCTGCATGATGGATGAGGCGTCTTTGACCGGTTTCGGAGATGATCGTCCGGAGAGTAGATTCATCCATGGTTTTGGAGAAGAACGTCCTTCTCGTGGAGAACTTGGAGTGGTTGCTGCTGTAGAAGCACTAACAGATGATGAAGGGGTAAAAGGAGAAGATCTATGATATGGAGATTGCTCCATCATTCTAGCAGACTTTGGTGGCACTTGTGGTGGCATTGGTGATCTAAGTGTACTTGGTGAAGACTGAGTACGAATTCTTGGTGGCATTGGAGCATCTCTGGATGGGATATATAGAGGAGCCAAAGATTTTGGTGAAAGTGGTTTGGGTGATTTCGAACGGCAGTTGGAATTTGATCGTTGTCTTTTCAAAACGTTGAGTTCATTAATTTCGTTTTCAATCTCTGCATTCTCATCTAGAATTGGTCCCTCAATACATGCAACTAAAGATTCGCCATATGTATGCTGTCTCCATTTACCACCTGGTGCACTGAAAGATCTTTCGTGTAGAGGAGGTCGTCCTGGAATGGTAGCTATTCAACGTTATTTTCAAGCGTACCTATAAGATGTTCAAGGTACTTACGAGAATCCATCGAAACCTCATGTACGGTAGTCATTGGTCCTAATTCGGTGACACTTGGTTTTCTTCGTTTGTTCAATTCTTTGGGCTTTTGAACGTTGTGCTTCTCTCCTATCGCCAATGATAATGAGGATTCTGGACTTTGTCGATCTGAGCCAATCGATAGCTTGTCTTTAGGAAATATACTGTATTTTCGTGGTGCTTCACTAGGTTGGTGCATTCGCCAAATATGTTTTTCTTTCTCTTCCATAACTGGGGAATCAGAAGGCTAAATATAATGTGAGCAAGAACCAGCTTGGCCACGAAAAGAAGTACATACAATGTCTTGAGGTGAAGATACCCCCATCTCGCGAGCTATTAAGTTATTTAAGCCGACACTGCTCGTAGCATCGACCAAGTATTCGGAAATATGAGCCATATTAGGAATTGATCCGTTTCGAAGCTCCTGGCTCGATTTTCCGATTCAATGGGTGTAGGAAAGAAAGTTCTATGCTCGATTGTATAAGAAGGAATGTGGCATATATATTAATATAGCGGAGAAAGAAACATATAAATGGACTCGATCCACTTGAAGACTCTAAGAGACGGAAAAGACAGGATTAAGATATACTCAAGGAGTGCCAGACACTTGGACCGACCCAGCGAGGGTTCAAGTGGGGATATGTAATATTCCTAATATATTATCCCCAGTCTATAAGGTAGTGTGCAGCAGGGCCCGTTAGTGCCCTTTCTTTTCTTCTCTTACTACAGAGTGAAAATCGACTGTTTTAGCGTCTGAGACAGGCACAATGAGAAGAAGGGGCTAGTAAGCACCAAGCCATGTGGGAAAGTGCATATGATGCCGGATAAAGCACGGAGGAAGATGAGTTTAAACTTCGGAATTGCCTATTTGCCTCTTTCACTCAATGGTACTGTACCAAGGCACTGTGCAGAATGGCTAGTGCAGAGAGGCGAAATTGTGATTTTGGCAAGTGTTTGAGGGTGCTGGTGACAAAACAAGGGTGGTTGATGAAATGAAACCGCTTGGAGCTTTTGACAGGATAGTAGTTCGCTTACCTCGACGGAATCAACCAAGGGTCCGTGCTGCCCCGTGCACATTCATGGCAGCCATGTAACTGCATGGAAAACTAGGAATACACATGGAAGCTAGGAAAAAATAGGCAAGAAAAGTCGTTGACTGCATGATAATTGCAAGGAATGTAGGATTATGCCCAGGGCTATCTACTGGTGTGTAAGAAGAATTTATAGGTTCTTTTACTAGCGAGGTAGCTAGGTAGGAGAAAAGGGAGGAGGTCAAAAACAAGGGAACCGTAAGACATGAAGATTCAAGAGCTTCGCGATGATGATCAGTGGTGAATCATGTGGTACATATGTACCTGCTTACTCGAGGGGGTGGCTGATTCAGGATTGGAAGTTCGAGATTCATAATGTTGACACGATGACTTGATGTCATTCTGAAGTTAATCGAAGGTTATACTGATTATCTCGGTGTTAGTTCCGGGAAGTTTGATAGATTACTTTCATCCTGCTAGTTCTGATGATCATCATGGGACACATGGAAAAGAAGCTTCGTATCAGAAGATTGGGCTACCTTGGCAAGTTGGCGATGTATTTGCACAGACGTCGATTTAGGGTTGAGAGTCTAGCAATTCGGAACAACATCTTTGATTTATTCTGTTCAAGTACCCGTGAATCAGTGGATCGTTTCTAGTTTCGGGGTCGATGTGGAGAATCTCGTTTGGAGATTAAACCCTAGAAATTCGTCTTAACGCTCCAAAAACAGGCATAACCGCTATAATGATAATGCAAGTATCGAGTCCACATCGAATCTTGGAACGAACTGATGAGAACTTCAAAACAAAATATCATGTTTTTTCGAATGGGAAATCCTATTGTGGAACAGATGGAAAGGATCCCTAGTGTCTGTTCTGTTATCTTATCATCATAGATGTCAACCGAGGTTCTTATTGCTTTGCTCGTTTTGCTAACACTGATTTTTGATAATGCATTCTCGTCAAAAGCTTCATTATTCAAGTTCTTGAGACTAAGTTTGTTTCTAGAAGAAAGTTTCTATCATAAGAAAACTCAGTTTAGTTGCTTCCGCCACTTAATCACAAACTTAATAGACTATATGAAAGTTAGTCTTATCCTTATGACTCGCCTATCATATCATATCATCTTGACTTGTTTGCTATGTTCTCAATCATCATAAATTTCAAGCTACCCCAACTGTCTCACAGACTTAAGAGATTTACAAGAAATTTGGATTAACGTTCCTAATCTCCGTCATCTCGATGATCTCACCGAAAAATATCTAATTGCATCTAAGACTGCATCCGTTCGTGTGTGTTGATAAGTTTGAAGAGCCGGTCTCGAGCAGGTGAAGACTTCACAGTGGGGTAGACAAATGTCTCTATTCAGAAATTCATTCCGCACTTGTCTGTGCAGTCGCAACCTCTAGACTACAAAATTTGTGGAGAAGAACTCTCAAACCTCCTTGATACAAGAATCTAAATCTTTTCGGCACCAGTCCGGTATATGGACCAATCATTATTGACTAGGAATTGTTCGAACTCTTCATATCATTTCCGTATTGG